TGGCCAATCAGAGCACACCTCGCTTTTCAGACCGATGAGCTTTGTAAAAATCGACGCGTTTCAGAAAGGCGGGGCATAGAGGAGAAACAATAATGTACAGTATGTGGAAAATAATGTGTTTTTTTTTAAATAACTGAAATGATACCTAAAAATGAAACTAAAACTGCCAGCAGGTGGCAGCAAGTCCCTGATTTTATCACTGAATCATTCATTCAACTGATTCGTTCGAACGGCTGAATCATTCAGGAATGAAGAAAGTGACTGTTTTTATGAACTGAGGGAAATCCATCGTAGCAACGGAACTTTAATCATATATTATATTATATTATATTATAATTTGTTGGTTGTTATAATAATAATTATAATAATAATTATTATTTTTATTTTTATCATTATTTTAAAAATAAAAATTATTTTATTATTTTATTTCCCTGCACAAAAAAGGAATCATATTATATGTATTATTATTATTATTATTTTAGTAGTAGTAGTATTTTGCAGCAAAAAACTTTGCACCTTATATTATATTATATAATATATTTATATTTAGTGCTGTCAATCGATTAACATTTTTTACTAATTAATGAGTAATTAATGAGCTTGAGGTATTCGGCCAATCACAACGCACTGGATAACTGGCCAATCAGAGCACACCTCGCTTTTCAGACCGATGAGCTTTGTAAAAATCGACGCGTTTCAGAAAGGCGGGGCATAGAGGAGAAACAATAATGTACAGTATGTGGAAAATAATGTGTTTTTTAACCTTAAACCACTTAAACACATTTCATTACACCAAATACACAAAATAATGTTCTGTTTAGCAACATCATATGACCTCTTTAAATATAGATGAATCCTTAAAGCTTTAAAAGTTTTTTTTTTCCACTTTTTTTTTTTTCTTTGTCATTTGATTAATAGACATCACAGCAGCTGGTTATTAAGTTGTTTTGGCTGTTATTTCTTTAAGGCCTGCTGTTGCTGAACGTGACGCGGATCTGACACACATCATATTTTCTGATGACCACTTCAGGTCTTAAAGTCTCTATTAATGAGCTGACGAGTTAAATCGGGTGTGTTAGATGAGGGAGACAGTGCTGGGCTGCTCCAGGACAGTTTTGAAACCCATTTCAGAAACATGTTCTTAATTGTGACTCATATAAAATATATTACATGCATGCACAGTTTTAAAGCGGCTTTAATCGCCTTTTTGGTAACTTCATGACTTAACTGACCACAACATTGCATGCACGTAGTTTATTTCACGGTTGATATGAAAGGATAGGCTACAGCGCGCGCCGATGCCTTTGTGCGTGCAATTGAAGAGCACGCACTGCGAGCACAGTACCGTTTCCGCACTCGCTTGACTCGTGCCTGACGCTGGAGTGAAGTGGAGCACGTGTCTGAAACGTCTCCCAAGTCTCGTTCTACCTAAAAATGAAACTAAATCTGCCAGCAGGTGGCAGCAAGTCACTGATTTTATCACTGAATCATTCATTCAACTGATTCGTTCGAACGGCTGAATCATTCAGGAATGAAGAAAGTGACTGTTTTTATGAACTGAGGGAAATCCATCGTAGCAACGGAACTTTAATCATATATTATATTATATTATATTATATTATAATTTGTTGGTTGTTATAATAATAATTATAATAATAATTATTATTTTTATTTTTATCATTATTTTAAAAATAAAAATTATTTTATTATTTTATTTCCCTGCACAAAAAAGGAATCATATTATATGTATTATTATTATTATTATTTTAGTAGTAGTAGTATTTTGCAGCAAAAAACTTTGCACCTTATATTATATTATATAATATATTTATATTTAGTGCTGTCAATCGATTAACATTTTTTACTAATTAATGAGTAATTAATGAGCTTGAGGTATTCGGCCAATCACAACGCACTGGATAACTGGCCAATCAGAGCACACCTCGCTTTTCAGACCGATGAGCTTTGTAAAAATCGACGCGTTTCAGAAAGGCGGGGCATAGAGGAGAAACAATAATGTACAGTATGTGGAAAATAATGTGTTTTTTAACCTTAAACCACTTAAACACATTTCATTACACCAAATACACAAAATAATGTTCTGTTTAGCAACATCATATGACCTCTTTAAATATAGATGAATCCTTAAAGCTTTAAAAGTTTTTTTTTTCCACTTTTTTTTTTTTCTTTGTCATTTGATTAATAGACATCACAGCAGCTGGTTATTAAGTTGTTTTGGCTGTTATTTCTTTAAGGCCTGCTGTTGCTGAACGTGACGCGGATCTGACACACATCATATTTTCTGATGACCACTTCAGGTCTTAAAGTCTCTATTAATGAGCTGACGAGTTAAATCGGGTGTGTTAGATGAGGGAGACAGTGCTGGGCTGCTCCAGGACAGTTTTGAAACCCATTTCAGAAACATGTTCTTAATTGTGACTCATATAAAATATATTACATGCATGCACAGTTTTAAAGCGGCTTTAATCGCCTTTTTGGTAACTTCATGACTTAACTGACCACAACATTGCATGCACGTAGTTTATTTCACGGTTGATATGAAAGGATAGGCTACAGCGCGCGCCGATGCCTTTGTGCGTGCAATTGAAGAGCACGCACTGCGAGCACAGTACCGTTTCCGCACTCGCTTGACTCGTGCCTGACGCTGGAGTGAAGTGGAGCACGTGTCTGAAACGTCTCCCAAGTCTCGTTCTGCGACTGAATAAATGCACTTCTTGTCAAGAAAAAAAGTGACAGAAGCAGCAGTTGTGAGTGGGGTGGCCAACCCTAGCCCCGTCCCTGCGTTAAAAATTTTTAGCACGTTAAACTTTTTTATTTTGACACCACTTATTATATTATATTTTTTATTATACTTTGATGAATATTATTATATTTGCACCCTGACTTCTGTCTCCAATCTTCCCCTGTCACAGAGACATTAACGTCTCTGAGATTTACATTTTTCAGATACGCCACTGTGTCCTGTTTGCATGTTCTGTGGTGCATGTTTCCTCATCTCTTCCACGTCTGTTGTCCTTCATGCCCAAACAAAGAGCCCATCCCCCCACGAGCCTCCCGTGCTCCTCCAGATTTCATCACAACTGCTTTCCTTCTCTCTCTCCTCCTTTGTCTTCCCCTCTTTTCTCTCACCGCTATCTAATTCCTCTTCTGCCATCATACATTTGTCTCTCCCGCTCGCTTCATTTCTCCCCCGTCTCGTTGTTTTCTCCTTCGCCCCTCCTCCATCTCTGGTTCTCGTTCTCTCAGCTGGCTCTTGCAGGTATTCTCAGTATGTCATTGTGGAGCACTCTGGGAGTGATTTAACCATCATACACAATCCGTATGGCACAGCACTCGTGTCAGGCTCCATACATCACTGCCTAATGCATCCAATGGGATGAATTAGAGGCGAAATGAACCTCATGGGTTGCGGCTGCTCGTCAGTGACGTTCTGCGGCTTTGTCCTGTGAGGGACGTACACATATTGATCCGGAGCTTTATGCTCAACTTCTTTGTACCTTTGGCTTGAAAGAGGCCTGTATTTCTGGATTGATGTCATCTAACTTATTTTTATTAATTTTTTAAATCAAGGATTGTGAGCGTTTGGTGTATTTATAGAGTAGAAACTCCACTGGCTGCCATAATTTTTGATCAACCAACATGTCAACTGGACTATTCATCATCAGATTACTGCAGTAAACAGAAGTGCTGTTCTCATTGTATCAAGATTGGCAGCGGCCATTTTCACAGATATTGTACTATTATAGACTGCTTTTTGGCCACTTTTTTTAGATTATTGATCAATAATAGTGCCAGCTTGCCCAATTAGAAGTGGCTTTCCTCTTGTCAATTCCTAAATCCACTGAAAGGCTGGTCAACGGATGAGAAAAATATTATAATTACAATTTAAATGTTATATATATATAGTAGTTAGTAATGTAATCCTTTACATTACACATTTCAGGTAATATAATCAGACTACTTTTGATTACTTTTGACCCAAATTGTTTTTTACATTGATTTAAATAGGATAATCTTGTACCATATTGATATAAAAATACAAAGAGAAAGAAAACATATTTCAATTATTGTTATTACCAACATGAAGTGCATCAAACATTACATTACGTCAATGTTTCCCAAACTGGACTTCATGATGAAACTGCAGGGGGGTTGTGAGTTTAATGAAAAGCTAATGATTAATTGAATCATAAAAATGTAAAATGAAAATAAAGCTTTTTAAAATTACAACAATCAAAATAAAACACTTAATAAAAAACTTTAAATATTATGTTTAGTCTGCATCTGCATGTGAATATGTAATCAATAAAAAAAACTGTAGTCTGATTACAAGTATTTTACAACGTAATGTAATCTGGTTACATTTTCCAGATTACGATCATGTAATCCAGATTACATGTAATCATACATATAGATAGATAGATATCAGTTTTGTGTATGAAGTTGTCATCATTAAATTGCATTGTAAAATTGCGAATCCAAAATTTGCAGATCCCAATTCTGTTTCTTCATTTTCAATGAGCATAGAGCAGAAAGTTACATCCCATTCCCAACAATACGTATGTCAACAGTGTATACACAGGATGTGAAAAAAATCTAAAAATCATATCTGGTTCTTCATCCAATCAAAAGAATTGCATTCAGTTCCTTGTCAACTTCAGTAAGCATGAGCAAAAATATATGATGCTGATTCCGAGACATTGCTGTCATTAGTGACATATGATTACCATCAAGTTTAAAGTGGGGCATAAAAGACATAATTGGACGAGCTCTTGGAGGTTGTCTGTGTTAAAGGTAGCAGTCAGCTGACCTATTTATCTGTTTGTCTGTCAGATGTAATGAAGCTCTGTGTCTGTTGGTACCATATGAACCTCCCAGGCCGATTCGGAGCTTCTTTGGTGCCTACATCATCTATTTCTTAAGAAACCGCCAAGCATCCTTCCATATTTCTTTGTGTTGACGCTCCCTGTCTTTCCCAGGTGCCTTGTGGATGTGTATCGTGCTAAACCCCCACTGTAAGCTGGAACAGAAGGCCGCTTGGCTCAGGCAGCTCAAGAAGTGGAACAGTGTGGACGTGTGTCCCTTGGAGGACGGTAACCACGGCAACGAGCTGCCCAATTTAACCAATGCCTTGCCTCAGGGTGCACACGGCAACCAAGGTAAGCGTGTGTGTGTGTGTGTGAGTGTGTGTCATGGTGGTGGGGGCAGAAACGGGGTGTTTTAATCAACCGTGCCTCCATGCGCCCCTTTTATTAGGCTTTGTGTGACTAATGGAATGCCCCTAATAACAGCGGTTCAGTACTTCTTCCATGGCTTTTGTCCTTGCTGTGCTAATCATAACTCTGGGCGAAGGCGAGGGTTGGGGCGGGGGGGAAATAGCTCTATTGAAACTTTTCGATTAGTCAGGTCTTTTATACCGAGGCGACAACGTCTGCAGAGGTTTTATGATGTGTTTTGTTATAAATATTCATGCTCCAGACAGGTAATTGCAAAGAAATGACTTCCCCTTTTCCTAAGGCATGGGTATTTTGGGTATGAATGGGCTCTAGACTGGTTGGCACAGAGGTTGTATAGATTTAATTAGAGTTTTTTTTTTTGTCTGGGATGCACTAAGGCTGGGTGATATAGCAAATTTTTATGATATATTGTATGTTTTTGTTGACAATAAAACAATGAATCGATGAATTAATCAGTCCAGTGTGCTTTATATGCTGTTTAAATGTTATTAGACTGTTTGGGGTCAGTAATATTTGTATTTATTGTTGAAAGAATTTAATGTCTTTATTCAGCAAGGATGCATTAAATTGATCAAAAGTGACAGTGAAGGCATTTATGATGTTTCTATTTCAAATAAATGCTGTTATTTTGAACTTTCTATTCATCACAGAATCCTAAAAAATGTATTGCGGTTTATTTTAAACCGTTTTTTAGATTGGATATACCCTCATTGCATTGCTAACAGCCACTCATGTTGCCAGAAATCACCCATTTTTATTGAATACAATGATTTACAGGTGTGTCGTATACATGTGATATAAATCTGACATGTTCTCTCAGTAATTTCCTGTCCTTTTTCTGTTATCTGTATCATTAACAGTGCCAAAAAAGCTAAAAAATGGTAGCATTGTTACCCAATTATCTTTTCAGTGCTGTGTTCCTGTGCTCGGTGTCTCAGTATCTAATGGCCAGGTAACGGTTTCATGCAGCTATGCTCTTCACTAGAGCTGAATGTCCACTCATGCCCAGCAGAATACTGAAAAAATTTACACAGTTTCCACAAAAGTATGAAGCAGCACAACTGTTTCCAACATTGATAATAATCAGAAATGTGTCTTGAGCAGCAAATCAGCATATTAGAAGGTTTCTGAAGGATCATGTGACACTGAAGACTGGAGTAATGATGCTGAAAATACAGCTTTGCATCACAAGAATAAATTAAATTTTACAATATATATATAGCAGTTATTTTAAATTGTAATAGTATTTCACAGTTTTACTGTTTTAACTGTATTTTTTATCAAATAAATGCAGCCTTGTTGAGCAGAAGATACTGACCTCTGCATATAAGACCCCAAACTTTTCTGATTTAATGTCTGATTTAATGATTCATTTGTGTTATCACTCAAGAATGTTTATGGGAATCTCTGCGTGGCATTGTTTACTTTGTTTGTGCATATTGAATATTGTCAAAAGGCTTGATCTAATAATAATTATAGCTATATCACCCAGCCCAAGTAAAGCCACCTTGCAGCGGTCATGTCGGTATCTGTACCACCTGTGAATGACAGTTCAGCTCGCTGCTCTAATCTACGGACTTATTTCCGAAGGTTTTACTGTTTGCCCCTGACTGACAGGCCCCCGGGGGCCTTGCTCTCAGAGCTAGCATTGAGAATGACAGAGCAATTTCCTTTCCGCTTTCCCTGTCTCTCCTCCTCCTCTTCCTCCTCTTCTTCGTCCTCAGATTCGGGCACCCGGCCCCATCGGACGGTTTTCACACGAGCCATCGAGGCATGCGATCTCCACTGGCAAGACAGCCACTTACAGCACATTATCAACGACGACCTCTTCACCAACTACTGTTACCATGACAACACTGAAAATTCGCTCTTTGACTCTCGCGGCTGGCCCCTGTGGCACGGTGAGCGGCTCGACCAGAAAAAGACGTTTGCTTGACTCGCCTCTTTGTGTTATGCAGACTATAGCATTAAGGAAAAAAGCACAACAATGTTTAAGAAAAAAAAGCAATGAATAGCGGCTTTATAGGGAGCGAGAACAAGAGTTTCTAACAAAATGAAAGGCATTATTATTTTCTGTCTCGCTAGCCTTTTTGTGTGTGGGTGAATGTGTTTCTATTGTGCCCGTCTGAGGTTTATTAAAGGATTTTTTGGGGGGGTTTCTATCACAGAACACGTCCCTACGGCTTGTGCCAGAGTAGATGCACTGAGATCTCACGGTTACCCACGGGAAGCACTGCGATTGGCCATCGCCATCGTCAACACCCTGCGTCGGCAGCAACAGAAACAGCTAGAGGTCTTCCGAAACCACAAGAAAGGTGAGTTCAAAACTCAAATGGGCTGTATTGCTGGTCGAATTGGTTTCTTGCTGCTAAAAATGAATGTTTGGTAGGGGAAAGCATTTGATTATAAGTTGCATCAGTGCATGATCTTTACATTAGCGCCAATGGTGGCACGCTTTTCCATGCATCGTTTATTAATATGGTTGTATGTGGCAGGAGTCAATTCAAATAGAAAATTTTACAATATATATATAGCAGTTATTTTAAACTGTAATAGTATTTCACAGTTTTACTGTTTTAACTGTATTTTTTATCAAATAAATGCAGCCTTGTTGAGCAGAAGATACTGACCTCTGCATATAAGACCCCAAACTTTTCTGATTTAATGTCTGATTTAATGATTCATTTGTGTTATCACTCAAGAATGTTTATGGGAATCTCTGCGTGGCATTGTTTACTTTGTTTGTGCATATTGAATATTGTCAAAAGGCTTGATCTAATAATAATTATAGCTATATCACCCAGCCCAAGTAAAGCCACCTTGCAGCGGTCATGTCGGTATCTGTACCACCTGTGAATGACAGTTCAGCTCGCTGCTCTAATCTACGGACTTATTTCCGAAGGTTTTACTGTTTGCCCCTGACTGACAGGCCCCCGGGGGCCTTGCTCTCAGAGCTAGCATTGAGAATGACAGAGCAATTTCCTTTCCGCTTTCCCTGTCTCTCCTCCTCCTCTTCCTCCTCTTCTTCGTCCTCAGATTCGGGCACCCGGCCCCATCGGACGGTTTTCACACGAGCCATCGAGGCATGCGATCTCCACTGGCAAGACAGCCACTTACAGCACATTATCAACGACGACCTCTTCACCAACTACTGTTACCATGACAACACTGAAAATTCGCTCTTTGACTCTCGCGGCTGGCCCCTGTGGCACGGTGAGCGGCTCGACCAGAAAAAGACGTTTGCTTGACTCGCCTCTTTGTGTTATGCAGACTATAGCATTAAGGAAAAAAGCACAACAATGTTTAAGAAAAAAAAGCAATGAATAGCGGCTTTATAGGGAGCGAGAACAAGAGTTTCTAACAAAATGAAAGGTATTATTATTTTCTGTCTCGCTAGCCTTTTTGTGTGCGGGTGAATATGTTTCTATTGTGCCCGTCTGAGGTTTATTAAAGGATTTTTTGGGGGGGTTTCTATCACAGAACACGTCCCTACGGCTTGTGCCAGAGTAGATGCACTGAGATCTCACGGTTACCCACGGGAAGCACTGCGATTGGCCATCGCCATCATCAACACCCTGCGTCGGCTTACGTAAACCCGTAAGACCTTAGTTTATCTTCGGAACCCAAATTAAGATATTTTTGATGAAATCCGAGAAAACAAAACCTTGTTTCCAAGCAGAGGAATGCACACGCAAGCGTCGTGGTACTCTCTTGAAAAGTGACAGACACTGACAGGAAAGAGAAGAATTGTTGAATAAAGTCGTTATTTTTGTTTTCTTTGCGCACAAAAAGTATACTCGTCGCTTCATAAAATTACGGTTGAACCACTGATGTTACATGGACTATTTTAACGATATCCTTACTATGTTTCTGGGACTCTAACGTGGTAGTTCTCTTGCTGTCTATGCAAGGTCAAAAAGCTCTCAGATTCCATCAAAAATATCTTAATTTGTGTTCTGAAGAAGATGGAAAGTCTTACGGGTTTGGAACGACATGAGGCGAGTTATTAATGACAGAATTTTCATTTTTGGGTGAACTATCCCTTTAAAATAATAATGACATGAACGATCAGAAATCCAGGGTATTTTGATGTTTTTTTTTAAATATACATGGCCCGTTTGCTGTTTTAAGGGAGGGGTTTGCGCAAAAGTCCTTTTGTTTTTATCTAGCCAAATAGTTTCTGAAGCATGTCTTTAAATATCTGCTCTAGAATAGCACGTACTGTATACCAAGGGTGTCCAATTCTGCTCTCGGAGGGCTGCCTTCTTGCATAGTTTAGCTACAACCTGCTTCAACACACTTGACTGAAAATTTCTAGTAATCTTGAAGACCTTGATTAGCTGATTCAGTTGTTGTTGTAGAAGGTGTTGCTCTGGATGTTGGTACTGTATAAGCATGAAAAATACATAGTAAAATCTAGGGCTCTAGACATAAAGTTCGCATGTTGCTAAGCTAATCTATCTAGGGATCACAACATCATGGATGACTTCCCTGCAAAATTCGCCACACTGATGTTGAAGTTAGCTTAGGAACATTCCCAGTATTTGCTAATCCATTTCTAATGTTTCTGAATAATTTCTAGGGCATTGGTCGGGTGTTCGGGGTGGATGCTGGTCAGATGCGAAGGTAGGGCTTTGTTAGATGGTTTCTTACTTTGCAAGGCACTAGTACCACTAAGAATACCTTAGCAACTGACTCTTAACCACCTAGAACTGCCTAGCAATGTCGTAGAAACCATTCAGAACCTTAAGCAATGGATTAGCTGGCAAAGTTGTGAAGTTAACTTCAACATCATGGTGGCATGTTTTGCAGGGGCAAGAACCATTCTTGTTTTCTTCAGAAAACCTAGTTGTTTTCCTCTTTTAACAAAGTTTCAGACTCTGTTTCATTTCCCTCAGAGCGGTGTTCAAGCATGTGTAAAGGCGCTCAGTGGTGGACGAGGCTGTTTGTTTCACTCGCGGCTGGTGTTGGGAGTAAAACGAAACGGTCTTTGCCTACAGAGCCGCCTCTGAATGCCACTGGGTTGTTTTGAAAGAATGAAGAGAAACCGATAAAGTGACCCCGCTGTGTGGATTCCTCCACCCAGCATATGCCAAGAGCATGACGGGGGCACAATAAACAGGAAGGCATGCATTCTATTGGCTACAGGGTTTGGGGGAGTTCTGGCCAAATGTGAAAATCCATCAAAACAAGAGCGTTCTCCCACTGAGAGACATCCAGAGCACGTCACCCCCTTCCAGCACACGCTGTAATAGAGTTAGCATGCTCAGCTCTTGTGTGTGTGTGTGTGTGTGTGTGTGTGTGTGTGTGTGTGTGTGTGTGTGTTTTTTCAGTTAGTATCTTCAGCAAGACGTGACTGTAGCTCTGTTCCAAGCCCTAGTGAGCTGCCTTGCTGTCATAAACTGGCTACATAAGCAGATACTTACTAAGGTTCAGTTGAACAGAGTTTGACCAAACATTGTATTCTATATGGGAATATGTCCTGCATTTTATTTATTTTTTAATAAATAAATACATTTTTATAATTTAACCAAAACAAGGGATGTTATGAGGCAGCATGATCATGCCCCGCAAAAAAGGCAATCCCAGAATACTTTGCAACAATCTCTGTGGAGATCATGAATCCTTGATGGCTAATTATTCGAGATAAATACATGAATATTTAGTTATACTAATATATATAATTTAATGAAACTTTTGTGTGTAATGTATTTTTATTCTTACAGTTAACTTAGCAATATGCTAACTAGTCAATTTCCATGAGCTTCACATGAGGAGCGCTATTTGTGAGTTTCTGTCTATGTAGAGCATCACATTTGAGGTTTTATTTTGGTTGAGATGCTGCCTAGGTAGCTGCCTATGTAGGCAGCACGTATGCCTCTTATGAATGTTTATTTTGGTTAGTTTGTCTGTTTGTATGTCCAGTGCCGTGTGTAATTGTGAAGTGGCTTGTGGTCGCTGCCCTCTCAGTCGAAAATAATCTAATGACAGGGAAAGCTAAGCTCTCACATATGGCTTCTAGCATTGCAGTTTATATTGTAGGCAAGTGTGAAAAGGCCTGCATGCTTGAAAGTGGGAGTGTGGTTTTCATCTGGTTTGAGGATGAGGAGGGGGAGGATCTGTAAAACGTTCTGTGAGCAGATTACCCACAATGCAGCACTTGCCCCAGAAACACCACGGCCTGCTTTTTGTGCATTTCACCTGGAAATGGATAACGTTACTTGTTTCAGAGAAGATGTTATCCGTGTTCACTCTTGACCTGCAGTATGACCAAACTATGATGCTGGAAAGAAACCGATGGCGATATGCTTACAATACCATAGTGGTATTTGAAGTAGAATGCAAATACCGTTAAAGTTATGGTAGCACCACAGTACTTTGTGGTTTTGATGTGTCATGCAGAAGGGTATCTTGGGTGTGTGTGCATCACTTGGTTTTGTGGTGAAACATGAACCCCCAAAGGCGTTTATTTCTTACATACACACTCTTACACGCTGTTTGTACCCACAAATCTGTGCATTTCTAACCACATCTCACACCTTCAGGAGGGCATGTGCTGTATCTTCTGAAGTTGTACGACAGTTTTATTCAAGTCATTGTTCACACTTTTGCATTTTCAGACTTGCTGTTAATATTGGTGATGGAAATAACTAATGAAATGTAAGAAATTGCTTTCTCTAGGTTTCATCTACATCTTATGTGTCTGTATGTGCTGTTTTAAACATTTCACAAAAGTTTTACACCTTAATAAATTGAGTAGTGCTTATGAATGAAAATTAATAACTGTGTTCATTTAAATCAGTGTTTCACAAACTGATGAGTTGATGCAAAACTAATATTTAATTACATTTATAAAAGTGTCAACTTAAAATAAATCTGTAGTTTTAAATCATAATGAGAAAAAAAGTTTACTTTTATGTCATATGGCCATTAACCTACATTGAAGAACCATAAAAATGTGAACGTGTTAAATTTGTCATATTAACTTAAATCCGCAAATCCTAACATTAAATAATAGAAAAATAATGCAATGCAAATTTATACTGAAATTTGAAATGCAATGGTTTATTGAGCCTTTACACAACATCTGTAATTGATCATATTTGATAATCAGACTTTTATGGCTCATACAGTGTGATATCGTGAAAAATTGGAGCTTAAAGGGGAAAAAAACGACCTCAGTTTTATTCAAAGGCCCAAGCTGAGCAAAAGTGTGCAATTTGGTGCAGTTGTTAAAGGCCTTTTACTTGTTAAAAAAAGAGTAGTTCTAGTAGATTGTGTACAGCAGGTTTGATCATGTTGATCATTTAGAGGCCTTGCGTTTTAAATATGTATATATAAATATGCATATTCAATATGTAGTATAGTAGGCTTTATAGGGTTAAAATATCAGGGGGGGGGACTTAAAGTAAATATAAAAATTGGCTGACAAAACAATTTAGGAATCCCTGATTTAAATGGTAACTGCGATTGTTCCTGGATGTTTTTGTGTATCTGAACGGGTGTGTTGTTCTCTTGCAGGTGGGCCCTACAGTGGTTTGGGAGAGCTCATCTATAGAGAGAGCGTTCCGATGCACACGTTTGCCAAGTATCTCTTCACATGCCTCCTACCTCACGATGCCGAACTGGCGTACAAAATTGCACTGAGAGCAATGCGGTGAGTTTCCACAGGCCGCACGGGCGACACTCTGCTCCCAAATCCGTCACGTCCACCTACAGTAAAGAACACGCCCACGGCTGTGGCTTAGTTTCCCCTCGCATCTATTGTTTTTACCGTCTTCACTCACTCTGAGAAGGCACGGTTAAGTCTTCGCTGATTCTCAGATGTGTGTGTGTTGGGCGTGAGGTTATCTGGGGCTCCGTTTAATCAAAAGGCGCCTTTTGCTTGGAAAACTGCTAAATAATTCATGGCCACTGAAAATGAGTTTTTGAAAAAGTGTGAATAATAAATACGTGTCGTTGAGTCTAATTTGGGCTGCAGAGGTAACGCAGAGCGCTCTTTTCACCCCACACACCCCCTCGACTCCCTGTGTGCGTTTGTGGCCGTTTGTGTACGTGTGCCTGTTACAAACCCTGTGTGTGTGTTAGCGTCAATTTTACATTATCAGCAGCAGTTATTCATGCGCCTTTACAAAACCTGTTTAATACATATTTTGAATATTTAAATGAAGTCTTTGTCAGCATATACACACGCATACACAACACATTCATGAAACACAAGCAGAATGAAAATTGTTCAACTATTCTTGCATAAATTGACATTCGTTTCAAAGCAACAGTTTATGCTTAGCTTTACAAATGAACACCAAAATCAGTTCTGCCTGTTCTTATGCAAATTTTCGCGATTACTTAATTTTTAAAAATTGGAATCTTGCCAAAATTAAAAACATTTTTTTTAAGTTTTACGAAATAAGAAGCAAAATTTATTTTCTTGTAGTAATTCATTAAATTAAGCATAAATTGTAACTTTAAAACCGCTAATATGTACATTTAAGCAATTTTTTTTTTTTTTTTACCAAAACTTTACACAAAAATATGTACATTTACATAAAGCAGTTCTACTTGTTCTAATGTAAATTGTCACGTTCACTTAAATATGTATTTTTCCATCCAATTCGCAAATTTAAAATATGTGTAAAATTGGATTCTTATGTAAATTAATATATTTGTTTCAAAGCAACAGTGTTTAGTTTTACGAATTAACACAGAAATCACTTCTGCTTGTTCTTATATAAATTGTTGCATTCACCCAAGTATAGATGTTTCCATGCAATTTGCAAAATTAATATATAAATGCGCAAAATTGGAATCTTGTGTAAATTGGTATTTTTAATTCAAAGAAACAATTTACGATTTGTTTTATGAATTATTAACACTGAAATCAGTTCTGCTTCTTCTTATGTCAATTTTCACATTCGCTTCCATATGTATGTTTCCATTCAAGTTGCAAATTTAATATATGCGCAAAACTGGAGACACCCGTTTCAAAGCAACAGTATGTTTAGTTTTACGAATCAACACAGAAATCAGTTCTGCTTGTTCTTATATACATAAATATAGATGTTTCCATCCAGGTTGCAAATTTAATGTTTGTGCAAAATTGTAATCTTGAGTAAATCTTCCTTCCCATGTGTTCAAGCAAACAAAATTGTCACTTTCAGGCAAATTGGTGCAAAATAGAAATGCAAGTGAGAGGTGATAGTAGCGAGTGGATTTTAGTAACATGACCTCAAAAATCCATTGATGGAAACTGCTGTGAGCATTTATGCAAGAATGATTCTATGAATGATTTACAATGAAATTTGTGTGAGTGCCAATGTGCAACAGAAATTCATAAACCGTGTCCTAAATAGGTGTAATGCAATAATTTGTCCGTCCATACTGAAAGTGAAAATGTTGCGCACCGCTATCACAGCCAGTCTGAACGTATTTGATGTTTAAATGCAGTTAAGCGCAGTGGACTCGTGAGATTTCGCTGTGACCATCAGTGTTATCTTTGATTGTATGTTGCTTTATGGCTGGTTCTGGCAAGATTTCCAACTTCAGGCTGGTCCAACAGATTTATATCGACATCTTGTCACGGATTTCCTCTCATATGTTTTATTAATTTTAGTTTTTTGACCAACCTACATACACACAAAAAAGTCCTGTTACCAAATCTGTCTGGTATTGTATTATATTTTGATTGGATTGTGTTTACCGGGGCATTTGCAGCTCAGGATACACATATAAAGTCGATGGTATCAAACAAAAATCCACCTAAATTTAGCCAGCGCAGGAGCTTCGGGCTCAGTATTGACTTTCTCTATAAAAAGACCGTGGCTTCCAAATAACTGCTCTCCATGGCATTGGCTCAGACGAGGGCTGATCTCCTCATAATACAATTCCCTTTGTAGATAGCTTGGTAATTAGCTCCATGCCATTAAATATAGAATTATAGTATAGTAATTATAATAATATATATATATATATATATATATTGTATATTGTCCACATGTAATGATTAGTTTAAACTGATTCACAAATATTTTAATGAATCTATACCTGAGATTCATTTATTTATTTATTTTCTTGTACAGTCTGTGATTACAGCAGACCACTCATAGTAAATAAATGGGAGAAATCATGGTTGTTGGAATGGAAGTATCGTCTTTCATGCACATTAGTTGGAAAAGCCTGAAAAATACAGTTTTAGGCTAAATATGCAACATTTACTTATACCACTGTTGTGTTTTATTGATGATTGACTGTACTCCTCCACAGGTTGTGGTTTGGAAAATAACACTAGTGTTGATCTGTATGTCTTTTTTTGTTTGCAGGTTACCAGTGTTGGAATCCATGGCTCCTTCGGGCGACATGTCCCGGCCTCACCATATAGTATCAGTCGTCCCCAATCGTTACCCGCGATGGTTCACCCTCAGCCACATCGAGTCCCAGCAGTGCGAGCTGGCCTCCACCATGCTCACTGCAGCCAAAGGTTAGACCGTCGCATTGGCCAGCGTGCGACATGTCCCGGCCTCACCATATAGTATCAGTCGTCCCCAATCGTTACCCGCGATGGTTCACCCTCAGCCACATCGAGTCCCAGCAGTGCGAGCTGGCCTCCACCATGCTCACTGCAGCCAAAGGTTAGACCGTCGCATTGGCCAGCGCGTCCATCACTCATGCGCAGGCTGCTATTACTGTGACAACAGCGCTGTTTGCTTAATGGCAGGCCTGTGTACCACATTTCCGCTAGCAGACTGCAAAACAACGAGCCCGACCATAAAATCAAACCTGTATTCGTCTCCTCAGTTTGGAGAAACAACACGCTTGGAGAAGTTACAAATCTGCAGCACTATTTTTAAGATCTAATCGCACCGCAGTGCAGAGAAGCTGAAATCAGAGGAAATCAACATGCTGGCGATAAATAGAAATCCTGTCCCAGAACTGAGCATTTGATGGTTTTCTCAGCGTCTTGCATCATGTCGGGCGTCTGGCACTAGTGCTGACTCACGGCTCATTGTGTAGCTGTGTGTGTGTGTTTGTGTGTGTGCGTGCGTGCGATGCAGTGCTGTAGACGGGCAAAAGGGTTTCTGAGTGCTTGATGTTTCTCCAAGGTCACTGGTGCCTGTTTGCAGTGTTTACAACAATGGCCAGTCATGTCAAAATTTCCATCACTTGTGTGAATCCATCACACATAATGAATGCATAAATAATATATTAATTATTATTAACAATTTATATATATATATATATATAAGTATATTTTACATATTATATGTGACCCTGGACCACAAAACCAGTCTTAAGTCGCGGTATTTTTTTGTAGCAATAGCCAAAAATACATTGTATGGGTCAAAATTATAGATTTTTCTTTTATGCCAAAAATAATTAGGACATTAAGTAACTACTGTAAATATATCAAAACTTAATTTTTGATTAGTAATATGCATTGCAACCAATATTTAGATTTTTTTGCACCCTCAGATTCCTGATTTTCAAATAGTTGTGTGTCGGCCAAATATTGTCCTATCCTAACAAACCATACATCAATGGAAAGCTTATTTATTCAGCTTTCAGATAACAAAATTAGTTTTAAGATCAATTATAAATGAAAAGTTGTCCTTTTATGATTGCTTGGACAAAATGCTGTACATTTCTTTGTGAAACTGAAATAACTAGATTGAAATTTTAAAACAAATAAATCTCTTCATATAAACAAACTAAGGCTTTGTCTGTGCTCTTTCCATTCAAAATTAGAGGCAACCACTGCACTTTATTCATGATCCAAACAAAGATGCTGAATAAATTTTTTTAAAAAGGCAAGAAATTTTTAATCTAAATTAAAATTTGAAGCTAAAACAGAATGGTCTGACTTAAGCTTTGTGAAACCATATTACATAAAACATCTGCACAAAACAAAAACAGCAGACGGGCTGAATGAGAACACAAATTCACTCTCTGACAGCAGGTGGCGCTTGGGGAACAGCAGCAATATAGCGTTTCCTTGGTTACCGCTGTAAACAAAGCAGCACTGCACTAATAAACACTCAACTGGATTATACAGAGGCAAAATGACAATACCATCTAAACTTTTCTAAAGACAGTCAGATACATTCATACAGACAGAGAGATACAGTGGGGCAAAAAAGTATTTAGTCAGCCACCAATTGTGCAAGTTCTCCCACTTAAAAAGATGAGAGAGGCCTGTAATTTTCATCATAGGTATACCTCAACTATGAGAGAAAAAAGGAGAAAAAAAAATCCAGAAAATCACATTGTAGGATTTTTAAAGAATTTATTTGCAAATTATGGTGGAAAACAAGTATTTGGTCAATAACAAAATTTCATCTCAATACTTTGTTATATACACTTTGTTGGCAATGACAGAGGTCAAACATTTTCTGTAAGTCTTCACAAGGTTTTCACACACGGTTGCTGGTATTTTGGCCCATTCCTCAAGAGCAGTAATGTTTTGGGGCTGTCGCTGGGCAACACGGATTTTCAACTCCCTCCAAAGATTTTCTATGGGGTTGAGATCTGGAGACTGGCTAGGCCACTCCAGGACCTTGAAATGCTTCTTACGAAGCCACTCCTTCGTTGCCCGGGCAGTGTGTTTGGGATCATTGTCATGCTGAAAGACCCAGCCACGTTTCATCTTCAATGCCCTTGCTGATGGAAGGAGGTTTTCACTCAAAATCTCACAATACATGGCCCCATTCATTCTTTCGTTTACACGGATCAGTCGTCCTGGTCCCTTTGCAGAAAAACAGCCCCAAAGCATGATGTTTCCACCCCCATGCTTCACAGTAGGTATGGTGTTCTTTGGATGCAACTCAGCATTCTTTCTCCTCCAAACACGACAAGTTGAGTTTTTACCAAAAAGTTATATTTTGGTTTCATCTGACCATATGACATTCTCCCAATCCTCTTCTGGATCATCCAAATGCTCTCTAGCAAACTTCAGACGGGCCTGGACATGTACTGGCTTAAGCAGGGGGACACATCTGGCACTGCAGGATTTGAGTCCCTGGCAGCGCAGTGTGTTACTGATGGTAGCCTTTGTTACTTTGGTCCCAGCTCTCTGCAGGTCATTCACTAGGTCCCCCCGTGTGGTTCTGGGATTTTTGCTCACAGTTCTTGTGATAATTTTGACCCCACGGGGTGAGATCTTGCATGGAGCCCCAGATCGAGGGAGATTATCAGTGGTCTTGTATGTCTTCCATTTTCTAATAATTGCTCCCACAGTTGATTTCTTCACACCAAGCTGCTAACCTATTGCAGATTCAGTCTTCCCAGCCTGGTGCAAGTCTACAATTTTGTTTCTGGTGTCTTT